TGTTAGTCACGGCTCCAGAAGGGACAGAGCCGATAGGATTGATTAGAGTGCCTTACAGGTTGTAGTTCCGGTAGCCCCGCAATGGCTGCCTCACAGCGGAAAGGCCAAGAGTCTGGTAGTTCATTCCATGAGACTGGATGTCTCAACAGTTCCAATCTAGCACCAGAGTCCCAGCTTTTTGGGTTTTAGTTGATTCTAGATGTCATCAAGTCAACCACCAAGATTAGCTGTCACAGCCCTAACCAGCACTGGAGGTGCAAGCAGAAGGATCCCAAGTTGGAGGTCAGAGCAAGTCCAAGGCCAAGCTGACTTTGTGAGACACTGTCTCAAACAAAATTACACTTTTAATTTTTTTTTTATTTTTTATTTTATTTTATTTTTTTTTTTGCCAGACTTTGAGGTAAAATGGTGCTTCCCTCTGTAGTTTTAATTTATCTGAGCACTCAAGTTGAGCCTCAGCTTGCTGGTCTTTCCTATTTTCCTTCTGTGAAATGTGTGTTTATATCTGTCCTAATTTGGGTTTCCTGACAATGAATTCTCAGATACAGACTTGGCTGCAGGTCATTTATTCAGAATCACAGATAAGGGAGTGAGGATGTCAGGACAAAGGGAGAGAAGTGCTAACTAAACAGGAGGCGGGCTTTTTATGCATCAGCTCTTCTGGTGTGCATATCACCTAATCAGAGCATGCCCACTCCCCTCCCAAGCACCCGTCAAGGACCCTAACCTCAGACCCATGGGAAAATGGCAAAGCTTTCCTGCCTTGCCCCACCCCACCGTGCCCCAGGAAATGGCAAAGCCTTCCTAGGTGTCTGAACATGGGTGTCGGAGTGTGCAAAAAATGTGCCCCATAGCTTTCTGCCCCCTGGATATTTGTATCCCCTGCATAGATGGCTCCTATAGAGATTAACTAAACCATCTCACTAACCCTAGGGGCAAAATTCTTAAAGAAAGCTGCCTCTCCCTCGCCCTGCAGCTACCAATTACCAACAGTTCCTCGGCTGAGGGTGGGACTTCCTGTCGACCTCTGCTCTACATAGTGGACTTGGTGTGGCTTGAGCATGCACAGGGCCTGTGCATGCTGCCATAACTATTGTGACTTCATATGTGCAGCTGGCCTGGGGCATTCAGAGGACACTGTTTCCTTGTAGATTCCCTGCCTCTGGCTCTTACAGCCTTTCTGCTCCCTCTTCCACAATGACCCCTAAGCCTTGGGAGATGGGGCGAGTACAGATGTGGGTCTTTGTATTAATTACCATATATTGAGAATAGAAGCTTCTCTGATGAGGACTGAGAGATGCATGATCTATGGGTATGATGATAAGTCGTTAGGATTTGGTTTAATTCTATGTCTGTTTAGAAGAAGAATAGCAGTACATTCTTTCCTATGGTCTATGATCTGTATAGCTCAACAATGGTGCCAAGTACGGGGGTTTATCTTGTGGAGAGGGACTGAAATTCAATCAGAAGGGTGGTTGGTTACTACTGGGCCAGTGGGCTTGGTTTGCCAGTCCAGCCATGATTGCAGCTGGCAAGGTTCACAGGTAAAGCCTGTGATGGTCTTTCTCCTCCACGGACCTTCTAGCACTTTGAAAGTCAATCAGTAGGGATGGAGCTTCCAGGTGAATACCAGCTTCCTAGTTCCACATTTGTGGGTCAAATACAGGATGTCTTCAGCCATAAGGTCTTACATCAAGTTCTGGAGGAGAGCCAACGGCATTAGCAATAGTTGGGTAGATGAGAAAGTAGGGGATACACTTGAGTGCATTGGCCTAGGAAAGGACATTTTTAACAGGACCCTGACAGCGCAGGCTGAAGACCAGCAAATGACAAATAGGACCTCACAAAACTAAAACATATCTGTACAGCAGAGGACACCATCACTTGAGTAAAGCTGCAGTCTTCAGAAGGGGAAAAAAATCTTCATCAGTTATTTATACATCTGACAGAAGGTTAGTATCTAGATATACAAAGAAAAAAACTTAACATCAAAACAAACAAACCAATCAAAATGTAGGGCATGGAACTAAACAGAGTTCTCAAAAAGATGAAACATAAATGGCCAAGAAACATTTTTTAAAAATGTTCAGTGCCCTTAGATATCAGGGAAATGCAAATTAAAACTATTTTAAGATTTCATCTTATCCCAGTCAGAATGGCTAAGATGAATAAGTAAATGAATAAATAAATGTGGGGGGAGGGGAATATTTAGTCACCCCAGGTGGGTAGTGCAAACTGGTGTAGCCACTATGGAAATCAGTGTGGAGGTTTCTCAAAAAGTTAGTCATAGATTTACCATATGATCCAGCCGTACCACCATGGGTATGCTCATCCATGTTCATTGCTGCTCCAGTCACCATATTCAGGAAATTGAAACAGACTAGCTGTCCATCAAATGATGAACAGGTAAGGCAAGTGTGATATATTTATACAATGGAGTATTATTTACTTATTAAGAAAAATGAAATTTGCAGGTAGATGGATGGAGCTGAAAACAGTCATTCTGAGTGAGGTAAGCCAGACCCATTGAGATAAAGGTCATAGGTTTTCTCCTATTTTTGGATGCTACCTTTGAATTTTCCAATATGTGTATTTCATTTGGAAGACCCGAAGAAGTCATATATTAATAAGAGGCCTCAAGAGAGAAGAGATAGAAAGCAGCAGTACAACAGATTAAGGGGGATTAACGGAACAGGAAGGGTTAAATTGGGGTGGGATGGGAGGGCAGGAGAGGGAGGAGTGTGAGGAGGGGTAAATAACTCTAAAAACATTTACAAAAAGTCAGATGGAAACCTGCCTACTACTATAGGAGATCACACACACACACACACACACACACACACACACACACACACACACACACACACGAACACACACGAACACACACGAACACACATGCATGAAAACAGTTAAAATGTTGTTATCCTATAACGGGACAATAATACCCACAGGAGACACCATAGGCTAACAAAGGAAATCCTAGAGCTGGGAATGGGTTACCTGTTTTAGAGTTGTTGCCAGCGACAGGTTTTGCACATTTTTTGGGGCATGAATATCTGTTTATTTATTTATTTTTTGTTTTTGCATACCAATCAAAGTATCTCCTCTCTTCCCTCTCCCAGACCCTCTCCGACATCTCCCTCTTCCTGCCTCCATTCACTCCTCCTCCTCTGTTTCTCTTCAGAAAAGGGCAAGCCTCCCAAAGATATCAGCCACCCAATGTATATCAAGCTGCAGTGAGACCAGGCACCTCCTCTTCTATTAAGGCTCCATGAGGCAATCCAGTAGGAGGAATGGGTCCCAAAAGCAGATGTCAGAGTCAGAGACAGCCCTTGCTCCCACTGTTAGGAGTCTCACAAGAAGACTAAGTTACACAACTTAGCATACATGCAAGGGGCCAAGGGGCCCCTTGCAGGCTTCCTGGTTGTCCGTTCAGTCTCTGTGAGTGTCTGTGAGCCCAGGTTAATTAGTTCCTTGAGTTTTCTTGTGGTGCCCTTGAACCAACTGGCTCCTAAAAAATTTTTGAAAATTGTTTATTTATTTATTTATTTTATGTACATCTGTGTTTTGCCTTCATGTACGTCTATGTGAGGGTGTCAGATCCTCTGAAACTGGAGTTACAGACAGTTGTGAGGTGCCACATGGTTGCTGGGAATTGAACCTGGGTCCTGTGTAAGAGCAGCCAGTGCTCTTAACTGCTGAGCCATCTCTCCAGCCCTGCTGATAAGTCTCTTAATTGATGTTCATCACATGAAAAAGGAATTGAGAAAATAAAACACAAATATTTGTACAAACATATTCTTAACAAAATATGATAGGAACACTCATGTTACTTATAATCCTCATTTCGGCAACTAGTCACATGCCCTTAGCTGATATTTATAACTACCTTCCCCTACTACCCATTTTGTATTTCCTCCACCCTTGGCAAGAACCTCAGTGGATCTCAGTCCTTTTCCTGGAGGAAACACAAATCCATAACCAGAATAAGTATCTATGCCAATAAGGAAGAAACAGGTTCTTTCCATGGAGGAAGTGGTCCAACATAGTCAACCTGCCACCAGGTTGCTGACTGGTGACCCTGGGGGATGGAGCCATATGTAGGGCTCAGTATTCATCTCAGCTGTTGGCTGATCTGGCATTCAGCAGCAAGTGTAGCCACCTCAGCCTTGGTGAATGGAAGTCTGTGTTGTTGAGCCCATGCATAAACCCTGTCTCTGCTGCCATGGTCATGGCATTGTTCATGGGCCCATTGGGCAATGACAGGAATGTCCAGAGAAAGAGGCTGGCTGTCCACAGAATGGATCATCTTAGCTACATGATTACTGAACTCCTCCTCATCTGGTTACCTTTTCATGAACATTTGCATGGGACACAAATGTCTTCATATCCTTTGAGTGTTTAGAGAGATCTGTCCACATACTTTCACCCCAGATATCTTTCTCACCAATTTTCCAATCATGCTCTTTCCAAGTCTCTGATCATTCAGCCAACCCATTAGCTACAGCTCATGAATCGGGGAATAATTGCACATCTGGCCATTTCTCCTTCCCAACAAAATACATGACCATGTGTAATGAATGAAGTTCTACAAAATTTCCCATGCAGGTGGTTGTCTTTCAGGGTTGTCCCAGAAAGGGGTTGTGATGCTGCAGCTGTTCCCTTCTGGGAAATGCCTACATAACATAAAAAACCACCAGTAAACCAGGTCCTGGTGTTCTCTTCCTCAGTCATCTGATGTTAGGGCACACCCCATGAGGCTCTAGGTGCATGCTGGGCAGCAGAGGCCATTTTAGTAGGAGCAGAAACCATAAGGCATTTGGCAGCTTCTTCATGTAACTTGCTTGTGCCTTCAGGACATGCTCAGGCCCAATTCCATCTTAGTGTCTGCTTTTCAGAACTAATGCAGCATCCTTGAAGAAACAGCTTTAACTAGGAGGTGACTATCATCCCCCCTTCCATGAAATGCATCCTGCTTGGATCCTTATCTAATGAATGAAGAGAAGGATGATCACAGCTCTTTAGGGCTTTCCAGCCTCAGTACAATCAACATTTAACCAGATAATTTTTTTTATAGGTGAGGAAGGAAGGTTTTCTATGCATTGTAGGATTTTAGCATCCCTGCTCTTTGTCCTTTAGATAGGCAACCACAAAAGGTGCCCCTGGGCATATCTAAATGTTTCTTATGGACAAACTCACCCATGAGAACCCTCTGCTCTATATGCATAAACAAGAAAAGTGGAGATTACCGAGTTACAGAGTTACATTCCAAGGGCACAGTATGTGGTCATAATGGACAGGGCAAGACTGCAGAGGCTCCTCCATCTTGTATTCCTGCTGAGGCCATTTTAGGTTTAACTAAAATTTGATCTCCTTGAGGGAGAAGGAGAATCCTGTGGAAAATTACCCAACGTTATTCTAGGAAGCCAAGGTCAAGATGCCCTATCTAGCTTATCTTAGCTTCTGTTAAACTGCCCACTTGCACAGAACCCCCACCAGCTAACTGCTTATCTCAGCTTCTATCAAATTGCTTGCTTACACAAAGCTCCTCTGCAGCTGCTGAATGAGATGCCAGAACATGGTTTTTTCCTTCAAAAACTCTATGCTCTGGACACTCCGTGCTACGCTTTGGTCTTGAATGCCTGAGTTTAGTCCCAACTGGCTAGAATAAAGACTAATTGGCTACATTGTCTGAGTGGTCATCTCTGGCGGGCTCCCAGTAACAATAAATCCAAGCTCTTTCCAGGCTAGGCTGCCACTGAGATACCAAGGTTCAAATGCCAGTTACAACATTCATTTATTGTGTGGCCTTATGCATATACTTTATACCTGGGTTTATCCAAATGAGGCTAAAAGGCTGTCCTGTCTGCCAAGACTTCTGAGACCAGGCATAAGTTTGGCGGCTCTAGGGTCATCCTCATTTCTGGCAGCTGACTATATATTTAAGGTTTTTCCAGATTCTAAACTGTCTAAGTGGCTTACAGGACTCAGGAAGTACAATGCTTACTACAGCTTATTATGGCAAAAGGGTACAAATCTGACATTTGAAGAAAGATTTTGGAAGCTAAGAACTTGGGACTAGAGGACTCCGAACAGAAAGTTCTGGGGCTTCAAGAACACATTCCCTTCTGGCGTACACATACAGCAATATATGTATGGAGTACTGCCAACCCTTGAACTCACCCGATCAACGAAGTGAAGCTTTTACTCCGTCTTCATTACCCCAGTAATTGAATAGCTTCCCATGTGGTTGAACTCATTCTCTGGCTGCCTCCAATCCCCAGGGCCTGGATGATAGAATACGGCTGTGAGTTCCAGCCCTCTAATCAAGCAGCTAGTCTTTCTGGCATTGTCCAGACACTGCTTGAGTCATTTCATTAACATAAACTATCAGGAATGCACTGTGAGTCATCTCATTAGCATAAACCATCAGGTAAGGTCCAAGAGGCCCATCATGGATTGAATAACAATCCAGTAAATTCTAAAGATTTGGAGTTAATGTGAATCCCCAATCCCTCTCTTCTGTAATAGGGGAAAGATATTCTAAGGAGAGACACTTGTGCCCCTCCCCTTTGGTATGAGATGATTGACACAATTAGCCCCAAGGAACTGAAATTTCCCCAGGAAGCCCATGTTTGAAGGGAAAAGTTAGAGTCTAGTACCAAAGGGGGGAAAAAAAAATATCTCCTGGGAAGAGATTTCACACAGCCTGATAACTTCTCAGATGTCTGTCGGAACAGACTTGAACCTGGACACTGATATTCTGATGGACAGGACCATGCCTTGACCAAGACTGTTGCTACGCATATCTCTTGCCCTCAATTTAAACCTAAGGCTCCTGTCAGGAACCCCAAATGGTCTTAGGAATCACTGGACCTCTTCAAGTTTTCTGATTATGAAAGGGAATTATCTTGCTGTCTTATTAGGATGGAGAGAGAAAGGCAAGTGAAGTTCTCGACACAATGCCTAGCAGATGTCGACATTTCCTTCTTTTCCTCCTCGTTCACCCAGGCCACTTCTGAGAAAGAGAGAATCTACCTGGTACATTTTCTAACTATACATAATGAGAGCAAGCACACGGGGGCAGGGGGTATCTTTGCAGAGCTACTGGTCCTAGCAGTTTCTTTTGTTTGAGAAAATAGTTTGATAGGCTTTTGGGGTTATGCATCAGTTAACATCTGTGATTTTTTCTTGTACATGGTAGGATGCCCTAGAGTCTAGGGCCTAGACCGTCTTGAAGTATGGACATGTAAGTGCAGATGACACACAGAAGACTTGCTATGTCTATAAGCAAATTAGCCACATCCTTTTCTCGTGCCATGGTGAGAGGCAGAGCAAATCCTCAGCTGATCTATAATAAACTATGTCACAAACAAGAAAGAACCTGTGTTAATTTAATTCATTAACTTTTGCTGGTGGCTTGTGACCCTACTATAACCTACACTATTCTGATAGCCTATGTCAGATGTGATTCTGAGTTTAGATGTAATAGCTCTGTGCGGGAAGAGAAGGGATGTTTTGTTCCATTGGTAGAGAGTAAGAAGGAAGAAGTGAAGCCATAGAAAAATGGGCAAAGGCTCCACCTTCCCAGGGAGCTGGCATGTGCTATGTATTTCACTATGCTGACTATGGAATAAGATTTCAGCTTGTACTCCACAGAAAATTACCTACCCCCCCTTTTTTTTGGCAAATGCCCAACATCCAAATTATAATTAATCATTATAATGAGTGAATGGCATTGCTCAGGTTGATCCAAGGCATCAAAAAGCACTTCAATCTATAAAATATTGAATTGTCATGTTTTGTCTCATTTGTAAAAATCATTATTTGAGACCTTTCATTTTATAAGGTGACAGTTACCTAATTAAGAATTTGTGACCAATGATGCTGAGTTAATTCTCCACAAGTTGATCAGATCTTAAAGAGGTTCAAAGAAAGAGATGGATTTCTAGGATGGGAGCTCCTATCCTTCCATGTTTCAGGAAGAGCAGGACTCTATATTCAGACCCTTCCCAGCTTCAGAGCCACAGGCTGTGGGTTTTGCAGATCCTGGGAGATAGAAAACCCAAGAAGTTCAGAGCCTGGATGTTTGAAGGCCCTTCTGATTAAAGGTTACAGTCCCCATGTCAGGACAACTCTTTCGGAGAATGGCACAAGATGGAAGACTCCCTTCCCTTCTCAGGGGCTTCCTGCTCTGTCCAACCTTATTTGGAGACTGTCCCTGAGCCTGGATGCCTGACTTACCTTAGATGTGACTTTTGACACACCCTGCAAATGCTCCCCCCTGCTGCCACACATGATAACTAGGCATTGTACTAGGAGCTTTACCATAGGATCACACTGCCAAACGTAAATTAGGTGATACCCCAGCTGCCCTTCCCATCTTGTGTATCTCCCCTACTCTGGAATAAAGCTAAGTTGTCTCACTGAAGCTTCCACCCGGAAAGCTGTTCCTGCCACACTCACAGGCCATACAAAGCCCTGCTAGCCACTCCTTCTCCTTTTGTCCTCATGATCTGGTGGCCAGTGGACCCAGAAGAAAAAGAAGACCCAACACCTGGACACAAATAAGAAAGCTGGGTATGGTCCTTGCTTGGCCTTGTCTACCTGGGTGACTAGACCTGGGAGTTCCACTTTTCTGTCTTCAAAATATGGAAATGGGCTGAAGAGATGGCTCAGCAGTTAAGAGCACTGGTTGTTCTTCCAGAGGACCTGGGTTTGATTCTTAGCACCCACATGGCACTCACAACTGTCCATAACTCCAGTCCCAAGGGATCTGATGCCCTCTTCTGGCCCTGATGGGCATCAGGCACGTCCATGGTACACAGATGTATGTGCAGGCAAAACACCCATGGACATAATAAAAAATAAATAAATAAATAAATAAATAAATAAATAAATAAATAAATAAATATTCATTTATTTAAAATGATGGAAAACACTATATCCCAACAAAGCATAGGTTTGTTAAAAACAATAAATGAACTTCTATGTGTAATAAGTGGAATTATCCTGTAATTAAGTTCTTGATAAATGATAGCAATGATTCCTTTTAAAAATTGCCTTTCAGGTGACCTGGGGTTGGATCTGGGATTGGTGTTGGTGGTTTGTGTTGTTTAGAGTTTGCTAATTCAAGTAGAATATGCCATTTCCCCTGTCATTGCTGCTGATTAATGGATTAGTTATGTCCATTTTTAAAGTAATACAGGGACCATAAAGTGAGTTTGGAGAGGTTGGAATGAAAGCAGAACCTCTGCTCTGAGTTAGAAAGCTAGCTGTCTTCTGGATCACCACTGTCCCACGTGGCACCCCTGCTGAGTTAGAAAGCTAGCTGTCTTCTGGATCACCACTGTCCCACGTTGCACCTCTGCTCTGGGTACCTTCCTAACTTCCTCCAGCTTATGTCACTGTCATGACTGATACTTGAAAGAGCTTTTCCTTCAGCAAGACCTTCTTCTTCCGTGTCTAGAATATTCTTCCATATTCGTTTCCCTTCACTAACCCTATATATCCTTCAGTACGCAGTTTAGTTCTATCCAGGGTATGTGAGTAACACTGGCAGACTGAGACAAGCGGAGACAAGAAGTTAGGCCACTCAGCCTACACATGATCTGATGAGGAACAGCACAGGCAGATGGAGCACTTTTATTGTGTGTATTATAAGAGCACACGTGGACTTCACAATCTAGAAGATTCTATATGTACATTTGTAGATAGCTCGGCATTCACTGCTAATTGTTTGTTCTGAGTTAACCTCTAGTCCAGGCACACTTCCACTTCGGGAGGAATGCAAGGTTTCACAGCCTTGGTGTATTCTCATTCAGCTGCAGGAGAAATGCTAAGGAGCGGCAACTACAGGAATTTTAAATAAAGAAACCCACACCATGAACCTCAGGGACAAGGCAGCCACCCAACCAGAGGGGCAGGCTGAGCTTTGTTTCCCTCCTGGCTGGAGATAAGATGGAGGGCGGACATTAATCTCAGATTGCCAGCTCCTGAAATAAAGCACAGCTTCAGGATTCAACACCTGCTGTTTCTGCCTTTGTGAGCTGTTGGTTGGTTTTTTCTCATGCTGTTTTGGGGATTATTTATTTTTATTTTATTTACTTTTTCTTTTTCTTTTCTTTTTTATTTTTGGTTTTCTAGACAGGGTTTTACTGTGTAGCCCTGGCTGTCCTGGAACTCACTCTATAGACCAGGCTGGCCTTGAACTCTGGCTATGTCTGTTTGGAGTTCTGCATTTGGCTCTTATGTTTGCGAACTTAATTCTTCGGTCAGATTGGAAAGCTTTCTGCTATGACGTCACTAAGTCTCGTCCTTTTGGTGTTGCCCTGTCCCTTCCTCTGCACCGTGAATCCTCAGGCTTGGCCTCTTGACTGTGTCCAGATTCCTTGGGAATATCGTTCATGCTCATTTTCCCTTGTCTTCCACGCCTGAGATCTGTTCTCGTGCACAGTCTTGTTTGTTAATCACGGCATCTGCTGTGGTTAATGAGACTGCCCATCTTCTTCATTTCAGATATTGTATGTGTTCAGTTCTCAGTGTTCCAATCTCCTTGCTAACCTTTTCCTCCGCATTTTGAAATGTTACCTCCACTCTATGAACTGTTATATACTTTGGAGACCATCTGGACAAGGTCTTGGATGGATTTCCTTAATTCATGCATGTATTGGACTCTTCTTTGTGATCATTAATTCTTTTGAATAGTAAGGCTCTACATTCTTTCCAGAACATTTCTGTTATTTCTGTATGGAGATATTCCGGTTCCTGTGACTCATCTTCTAGAAATGTCTGCATGTAGTCCAGCTATGAGGAAGGGTGAAACTTGATGCTGATTACCCAATGCGTGGCTGAAGTGACCCAGTCTTGGCCGTTTGCCAACAGAATCAAGGGTGGGGCTGCACCCTAAGCACTAAGGTGACCACATGGAGTAAAACCATGGTCACCTCTGGATCCTATAAACCTGCTGGAGACAGGGTACCAAGCTTCAGACCCAATGAAGCCTGTTTTCCAGCAGGGGCCTGTTGTCAGAGCTGTAGGCCCCAAGTGACCTCTGGAACCACAAGGACGCAAACTTCAGGCCTGACAGACACCGGGACTCTACACCCATATTAACCTCAGATTCCACCGAAAGTAAAACTCCATTATCTCAGGGGACTCTGCGCAAACTGAAGCCAAAACTCAGGCCTTGCACTGACCCCTGAGGCCACTGGGCTGGAGACCTGGTCGCAGGGTGCTGCTCTCTGGTTCTGTAAAAATGGGAAGTCACCAGGCGCTCTCTGCTCCCACTGCTGGAGGCACAGTCAAGTCATCAGGCATTTTGTTCACTGACAGACTCCTAGGCTGATTCTGTGATCTCCCTTGAGTATATACCCAGGAGTGGTAAATGAGGATCACAATGGTGACTGTGCAGAGTGTCTTCAGGAACCTCCGTACTATTCTCTATAGTGACTGTACTTGCTTATATCCCCGCCAACAATATATCCCTATACTCATGTGTCCCTCTATTCAAACCAAAGTAATGAGTATTTGTATGTGTGCATGGTGTATGTGTGAGGGTGTGTGTGCCACAGGACAGGTGTGAAGTCAGAGGACACCTTTGTGGAATCAGTTCTTTCTGCCACCTTTACATGGTTCTAGGAACTAAACCTGGGTCATCAGGCTAGGGTCCATGTGTCTTTACACTCTGAGTCACCTCAACAACCCTATAATTTCTTTTTGACTGGGGTGGCATGGAATTCTAGTATAGTTTATAAAAGCATTCCCTGATGGTTAAAAATGTCATTGTGCATCTGTTCAGAAGTTTAGGGCTGGAAAGTGTTGTTCAGTGTTAGATATTTACCTAGTATCCAGACAGCTCTGGTTCAGTGCCCAGTGACACATATACACAA